GGCGAGGAGGAGAAGAGGGAGGACCATAGATTCTTAATTCTCTCCCAAAACCATATTGACTCTAGACATGAAATTAGACAGTGGAGGATATCTTCCGGTGTGTTGGTTGAGCACAAAATGCACAGAAATCTTTCACTACTAGCCTAAATGAAGCACCTCTGATTATCACTCATCGTCATAACCTGAGGACCTAATGGTTCATGCAGAAGAAACAGACCAGACCAAGAAAAGGAGAAAAAACGACTTGCCTAGAATGAACATTTGGTGCACAGCTGGCTATTTTTCATATAACTAATAGTGAATACTTCTAGCAAAGTTGTAGTAGTGTTCTGCTTCCTTTTTCATTTTTCTTTTCTTTCCCTCTCTTTTCTTAAGGCATTGATAGAGAGATTCATCATACCACAATTGGGAATGTTCCCTCCCTCAGCTCGCCTGTCTCACAAGTCATCTCATTCATACTGCTGAAAACAGTTGGGCACGGCACACCACCGATTAGGACGAGATGGTCTTGAACGCGCTCACTGAACCCTATGCCTGAGAAGGTGACAAGTGTTCCACCACCGATACTTCCAATCCGCGGTTGGACAGGATCCCCTCTTGGGTCTCTGAGATAGAGAGGCACAGAAACATTGGCTGCACTTGGGAAAGCATATCCCACTCTTTTAATAGCCATGGTTATCCGGTGTTGGCCAGCCTTCAACCCAGGAGCCTGACATTCAACAGACATGCTCGTCAACTGTCTAACATCAGTGCATAGCTTGTCATCAATCGTGACGATTATATCATCAGGGACAACATTCCCAGCAGCAAGGAAGTTTACACCACTCAGCCTGATGAAGGTGGGTTGCCATGGATACAGATCTCTGGGGAAAGCACTGTTGAGGCGGGGTGTAATCAATGGCTGGTATTCATAGCTGCAGGAGCTACAGGTGCCTTCGGCCAGAAGTGTTGTGCCATTCATAACACTAACAATCACAGGAATGATAATGCTGGTCACCGCGCCATTTATTTCTGTCAGTAAAGGACTGGGTCCAACTGTCACAATGATTGTTGACGGGTCGCATTCGACGATTCCCACCCGAGATGGTCCAAACCTCACAATGTTATTAAAGGTTAATGGCGAGAAACCTGATCCACGAATGGTAATGTTTGCTCCACCGGCTATTGATCCGCGTGTTGGAAACATAAAGCTCACAGAAAAGCCATAAAATAGGCTGAGCGGTGGCCCAGAAACCTTTGCCAGGCCGCGATCTGTAAAGAGCACAGTCACCGGATACTCACCCATCTGCATGTAAGGCAGAATGCAAAACATACGACTATCGCTCAGAAAAGTAACATTGCAGAATGTTATGTTTGGCTCCTGGCCAATGATAATGTTGACGAGTGAGGGGTCTGTGTTCTCGCGGAAGTTCCTCCCTTCAATTGTCATGATCTGACCACCTTTGACCAAGTTTTCTGGTGTTCTGATGCTGTACACCTCCGGCGTTGCATCTGCCAAACAGTCAAGATGGAAATGAAGGCAATATCAACCATGATGGCATCAACATGGAGCCTTACTCAATTTTGTGAAAAAATACTAGTCAGTGTAGTCACAGTTAAAAGTGGGCATTGACATAGCTTGATTGGTACACCAACCAACACAATGCAGGAGCACCAGGAATGCCAGGAAAGCAATTCGAAGCACACGACAGAGAATACTGAGGGAAACTGAAACACGCAGCTCAACCAGGCGTTTTTCGTCCATCAGCACTGGTGACCCATGCCTTGCATTCAAGATTCAGGGTTTAGTAATACTTGCTGAGTGTTGGGGCAGATGTCAAGATGAAGGCCGTACACTTCATTACAACACGATGGCAGTGGGATCCTACTTAAAACCAGTCATCCAAAAATACTCTCCTGGCTCCCCCATGAGATATTGGTTTTTCGATGCCTGTACATATACCTGGTGAATACTTGAACGTGCAGCTTGGGCAATGGTCTGTTGAGCTCACTCGATTGATTGTGGCGGTTACTGGATAGTCAACATTTATTGGAGCTGCACGAGCCATGGCAAGAGGGAAAAAGTCCATAGATAACAGAGAATTTCACCCAACAAGAGCACACAGGTCAGGAAATTTCAAACATAACAGAATAGAAACAAAGAGATTACACAATGATAGGCAGACTGCATACATTCGTTGATATAAGTATTTCCTTTCCTTCAAAAGATGAGGCAGAAGCCGCTCTGCACAGTAGACAGAGCCAGACCTCTAAAAGTAAAATCATTTATTTGAGTATTTTACCGTTTTCATTACTGAGGGCAAACAAAGCTGGTAGAGTACAGCACTCTAAGATATCCATTACCGTCTAGGTTACCTGGAACACCCAGCCGGGCATCCAGGCAAGTCTCCCGGGCAGGCACCTGCTTGGTTCCACCTTGTGCAACTCGAACAACTGGAATTTGTTGTTTGTGTTACGAACCTGGCCAATTCCGAAGTGCAAATACGCAAGGAAATGCAATGCCATCCAATTGCGAAAAGAAATGAATGAACTTGACAGGAGAGAGAGACAAAGGAAGAAGAAGAAGAAGCAAGAAAGAAGAAGAAGAAGGTGTATATGTAACGAGCGTGAGGCTGAGGGTGAGCCGAGGGAGAGGAGAGAGAGGGGGAGAGTGAGAGCACACACACACACTCACTCACTCAACACGACGGACTCGGACTGAGGATCGGACGCAGACACAGTGGCAA